AAGGAGCTGCCTAACTCCTATGTCAAAGTGGTACAAGCTGCTCCCAAACGCAGCGCACTCCCTGTCCTCTCACACAAGACACGTTTTTGCAGGATCAGATCCTTATTCAGATCTCTCAATGCTTTTTCACACAAAACGATTTCTAATTTAGGGAGGAAAAATGTTATTGAATTATCTTTTTTTTGGTTTGAGTTGACATCTTCCACTGGCTCCATCAAAGAAGCCACCAGTCCCAGAGCACATCGAACTTTAAGTGGGCTGTAGTTGGCAGACTTCAAATTGATCATGCGTTTTAGCTGCAGTAACTTGCAATTTCTGCACCCTTTGATAGCGTGCTTTAAAGAACAAGTCTTCTTTAATGACAAAGGCTTAAAAGAAATGACCTTTCTGAACAAAATATCAAAGCTTAGAAAAGACAGTTCCTTGGAAAAAAAAGTCTGAATTAAAGTGACCTTGTGTTCTGAAACTTTCTCATACAATATCTGACGCCTTTTCCTTTGTACCCTCCGAACAAGACCAAGTATAATTTAGTAGCGTGGTGCCTCCAGTACATTTTGTGATTTGGGAAGGACTTGCAGTGCATAAAGATAATTAAAGGAAATAAATCAGATCCCATGTACACTCTCCATCAGGACTGCTCGTCACTAGAATCAAAGCTGTGCGTGGTTTTCAGGAAATTCAATGAAACACTGCAAGATATCCTAGTGATTGCAAATATTTTCTTCTAGTGACAATAAAATCCTTTTCTCTGCAGCAAAATCATTTCTTGGTTTGAAAGCACATTCAGCAGAGATTTGGGCAAGTACCAGGAGTATCTACTGTCACCAGCACAATTAAAGCACTGTTGCAGCAGAAAGCAGAGGGCTGGGAGGAGGAGGGAGGTTGTATCCCTTTTCTTCCATCTGCACCAGAAATGAGCGTATTTGTTACGTGTAACACAAGAACTGTGAGTGGCACTGAAGTAACGTGTCACCTTGATAAGGGTCACCTCCCTTGGTACTGGTGAAAAATGTTATGGTGATGCCTTTTTCTTGTGGGGTTTTATATAAAGTGAAACAAATTCTTTCACTGAGCAAAATCAGTAAAATGAATAAGTAAGAAGTACAAATAAAGCTGTAACCATACTCAAGCTGGTTTCACCAGAGCTTGTTTTGTGGACAATGAAGCCATCTACTAGCCGCTGGCAATTCCTTACCTAGCAGATGAAAAGAGAAGTAGAGAGCAGGTAATACGTATGAAAACTTTTCTAATCCTGCCATTTGGACACTACTCATTACAAAAACGATCAAAGAAATGTTAACAACTATGACAGAACTCCAACCAACCTGGAGTTTATGTTATCAGGTTTACAAGCATCTTCAAAATGGTCCTCACGCTGTATTTGATGTAGGAGAGAGTTTCCCACAGTTTAAGAACTCCCTGATTGACCAACATGTACATTCCTCAGACTGCTTTTTGATCATCAATGACATCAGCAACCCAATTCCATTAAAAGTAAGGAAACTGAAGCCTGAATTCAGGTAGCTAGAAGAGGGTCCATGTCTCTCTCTCTGGACATACGCCCCTTACCGCTTTCGAAAGCACTATAAACACCCGGAGGTCATGCAGACACGCAAGCAGAACAGCAATATTAAAAATGCCTTATTTCCTTCATGCATGAGAAGAGAGATTTCACTGTCCCCCTGTCTATTAGGACACAGGGCAATACCCAGTAGGTGAATCCCAGCGTGAGCTCTTGGTGCTCCTCCCGAAGAGCCCAACCATCACTGTCTTGCACATCTCTGTGTAGAATGATAGAATGGTTTGGGTTGGAAGAGACCTTAAAGCTCATCTAGTTCCAAGCCCCTGCCACGGGCAGGGACACCTTCCACTAGAGCAGGTTGCTCCAAGCCCCTGTGTCCAACCTGGCCTTGAGATGCTTTTGTTGAGAGTCAAAAGAATGCATACTGAGGCAATCTGCAATGAGAGAATTAAATTCTGTCATTCTAATGTTTCATCATCATATAACCTTCAATGTTGACTAAGTTTAATGTTTAAGAACCACTGTAGACAAAAGTGATGTGAAGAAGCTTATGGTCTTCTGTACAACCAGTCAAATCCACTTCATTTTACTGCTCACAATGAACTAAATGCACCCTAACAAATTCCTCTTACCAAAACTCCCCGTTGCCCCAGGCGAGGCTTTGTGGCACCTGCCGCAGCACCTCCTCGCTTATCAGAGCCATGACAACCCCTTATCTATAATGAGAAGAATCACTTGTTGATTCCAGGAAGGTGGAAAACCTGCCCAGGCCCAGACCAGGCTGACAATCAGCAAAGCTGGAGCCTGTGTTTGGCAAGGAGCTCCCTGCCGGTGCTGCCAGGCGGAGGGGTGGATGGAGCCCAGCCTGCCAAAGCCTCTCCTCATTGATCTCCACGCCAGGCAGGATAAGAGCGCAGCTGGAAAGCTGGGATGTGGGACAGCCACATCCAGCCATGGGCACTCAAGGACCCTCTGAATCCTGCCTGGATCACAGTGCCACCAGGGCGAGGGAGGAGAGGTGGCTGTCCCCATCTGCAGTGAGAGAGAGGGTCTCACTGCTGCTGCCACAGCTGGACTTGGAAGACAGGATTTTCTGGCCCCTCACAAGCACTCAGACCATTAACTGTGCCTTGATATGAACGCTGCCAGCAGGATGGTGCCTAGGGAAGAAAAAAGCTATTCTTGTATTCAGCATATCTAAATGTACAGATTACAAATGTACTAAGGTACATGCTGGCTCATGGATGGCCAAGAGATAAGGAAGCGTTCCTATGCCTGGGAGGCAGAGCCAGCTACAAAGATGATTCCTTGTCCGGATCCTTCAGCTTTCCACTGCTGCTCAAACCTCATCTCTGCAAACCAAATCTGCTTACATTTACCAGGATCATCCAAGAGAGAGCCTGCAGAATCAAGGCTGTATCAGTTATGACTCTCTTTCAATAACAGCCCATAACTGCGTTATCAGTAAATGACAAAGGACTTCCCCATGACCAGCATATGCAACCCCAGCCACAGATATAACTGGCATGGTGGCTGCGTTTCTCATCATGGTGTTTTCATTCTTGATCCAAGACTTTTCCTTTAAAGACAGCATAAAAATATCTCCTCAGTTCACAAAGCCATCCAAACCCCTCATGGGCACTGTGGCTACTGAGGTGAGTGAGATGCCCAAGTGGGACAATAATGTCAAAACAAAATAGTACAAAATAATGTATTTTAATATTATGTAAACACATGGACACAAAACAATGTCAAAATATGTTAAATATCTGGGACAATAATAACAGAAAATGGGATTTTCTTCATGTATAAAAGTGAAAAGAATGGTACTGGGAAGTAATAGCAAAAATATTAGTAAAGGAAACTCTAAGGGCTCAGTAAGCAAGCTCAGCATGGAGTCAAACACACAGTACATCGAAAGCATATGTCTGTAATAAGATAATGATAAAAAAATAATGGAAGGAAGATACAACTAAAAACATGCTGGCACGAGCAATGAATGTGTTTTCATGAACTTCATTTTATGTGCTAACAAAATAGCCACTGATCTTTGCATTTGAATTTACAAGAGCCAAATCTTCAAACCTATTCAAAGCAGTCCATTTGGCAATTGAAGAAATCCAACAGCTCCAGCAGCTACCTGAAAATGAAAAGATTCTCATTAGTTACATATTACTATTTTAACTATAAAAACACAACAGGATTGCGTCCAGCAATGGGGCTGGATGTGGCCCCGCTGCTGTCAGGTGTTTAGGTGCATGTAGGGAGCTGCATCAAATCTGCGGCCACGGGCATGCATGGGTGTTAAAGCAGCAAAAAGCAGTTCTTCAGTGAATGAGGTTCAGGTAGATGGTAACACAAAATGTAATCTGAATGTAGACTTGGAAAAAAGATCTGGTCAGGAAGGTGATTTTCCTGAACAGAAGCAGCACAAAAGCTTCTCCAAGTCTTAGAGCAAACACTGCAGCAGCCCCGCTGGGCGAGGAGCTGCTGTGTGCCCTGCTGGCTCCATCCCTGCTTCCTCTCCATCAGGACAAGGCTGGGGCTCCTTCCACCCCTGCGTTTCAGTTCTTTGTGGCCTGGCCTGCTTTAATGTTATATGACTATTCATCTTTTTAAACAACTATTTTCCTAACTGTGAAGACACTAATTCAGAATAAGCTTGAGACAAAACGCATCCCTTGGTAATGCTGCTGCTGCTGAAGGAAAGAGTCTCGAGACCTTTAGATTTATCTGACAAAGTTACCTACACTGGACATATTACCAAGAAGCTATGATATTTTCAGTTCCTAATTAGCTTTAGCTAATTCTCATTAACAAATAGCTCAGGATTAATACTTTCAGACAACTTTCAGACTGCTAACGCTTTTACAAAGGCTTAAATATCTTACAAATCCTTACACTACTTTTACAAGCACACATTCGTCTTTGCAAGAAACCCTCGTGTGAGCTATGAAAGTATCATCAAAGTCTATAAATATAAAAAAGATGGAGTGGCTTTCCTAGGAAGTTTCCTTTTACTCACCTCTCCATGTGAATCACTTACTCTAAAGGCACAGCCAGGCTTTTTATTGCTGCAGCACTTGCCATAATTTACATTGGAGGGTGTAAACGGCTGAAAAAAAGCTCAGGCTCATGAAGATCCGGTACTTTGAAGATGTGATCTGTAATATTATGCATTGCATCATTGTTTTCTATCTTAAAAGGAGGTGGCACCACCACAGAGCTGCAGCTGTGCACCGAGCCACTGTCTCATCATGAATGTCGAGGCAAAGCCCAGACTTGTAATGCACCTGCAAGTTCTCTGATCTTGCTCTAATAGTACTGACTAAGCACTGGGAAAGTTCTCAGACGCTTGTTTACTGAAAATAAGGATCTTTTCAAAGTGCAACTGTATTTGAGTGTTTTAATTACGCAGTAAAACCTCAATAACTGGGATCCACAGGTGTGAAATGGTACAAATTGATCAATCACGTACCTTCTGGCCTGGTAGACGTTCAGCTCTTCCTGGAGGACAGAGACTCTTTTCTGCAGAATATTTACCTGGAAAACACATCCCTCATGAAAATGGTGGACAAAATTGTAATTAACTAATTTATGCTCATTTCATAAAAGGTGTTTTTCTGGTCTTTCCTGCCTAAATAAAGTGCAATTCAGCTGCAAACTAGAATTAATGCTTGGTAGAAGACTGTTAGTATGGCTTCCCTGGCCCTGCTCCAGCTGCACGCTACCTACTCCTTTAGAAACAGAGGCAAAAGTTTTTAAACTCGGCTGGTGGTACCATGTGGGTTATACAAGGGTTTGGGAGCTTCACTTCTACTGTCAACTCCCATATGATGCCTGCGCTCTGATCCCTGTGCTTTTGCTCTTGTGATGAAGGTACTCACCTGGACTTCAAGGGTACGAAAATGAATGTTTATGAACACACTGTGGCCCCTTCTGGAAGACTCACCAGGAGCAGACAATTGGGAGTATGCTTTATATTTAGCAATGGTTTCAGAAAACTTTGCCCAAGCCTCAAGTATTTTCTTCTTTATTTTTATCACGGCTTGGTGTTTTCCCCCGGCCTATCCTCTTCATCTTCCTCCAACAATAAATAATCCTGACAGGTGCAGAGATTCCACTGCCCTTCTTGTCTGCTGTTTTCAAACAGGAATTCCAACTATTTTCAAAGACCAGGACACCTGTGCTTCAGTACAAGCTCTGCTCCCTGAGTGGTCCACGATGACAGCGTCCCGCTGGAAATACAGCCAGCAGCGATGTGTTTCTGGGATAGCACCCAGGTTTTCATGTGTGTAGTTACTTTTACTCTTTTGAAATGCTGCTCCTGCTTACAGAAGCCCTGCAGGTGGGTATCAGATTCTCCTTTTTTTTCTTTCTAACTCATTAAAAGGTGTGGTATTCTTGTATTGGCTCTGGAGTAACGCTTCCTACCAGACAGAGCTAATAGACAACCACACTTTAAAAATAGCTTTTTACTATCAACTGGAAATAGATTTCCCCAATAGATCTTTAACTCCTTATTTCCCACAACTATTTAAATGAGAATGATTTCCATTAGGTATCTCTTTATAGGTAAGTAGAGGGTTTACAGCCACAGTGTTGAAATTGTGTCACTGCCGGCACACAGGAATATGGAAGTTTCCCCTATGAATATTTCCTACTTCTATTAGAGGCACACTTTGCCAGGGGAAGTGTCCCATGGATAGCAAAGAACGCTACAGAATAACCCTTATGTGATGTAAATTAAAAATACGGGGGAAAACCCCCAAATACATTAAATTCCCAACCATCTCCACAGAGAGAGGCTGCATAAGAAAAAGAAATTGAGTATGTGGATGTATAATTTCTTGGAAAATGGTCCTGACAGTTGGTATAAGGTGTGTTCTGGTACCAAGCCTAAATGTGTATCCTGTGTCCTCAGGGCTTCTGCTCTTCCCAGCACTCTTGAGCAGCTCTGAGTCACCAGTATTGCCTTGTCTTCCTCTCACTTCTTCCCTCCAGCCCAGGACAGATCCCAGTCCTTCCCAGCACATTTAAATGCACAGTCCTGCCCTGAGCCATATATGAACACTGACACTGTTTTCTTTGGATTACCGTTATTCCTCACCTATGATCACCTCTCTGTTGCTATTTACCCTTCCTCATGTGAGTTCAGGCAATGATGACATTTTGTTTTCTTCCAGCTCCTAATATACTGAATAGGAAAGCATCAAACAACTTCTGCAGGAACCAGGAACAAGAGAAACACTCTGCTCATTAGCAGTTCCCTATTCACAATGACATTTTGGTATTGAATAGTCTATTTCATAGAAATAATATTGATTCTGCATTATTCTAGATGAGCTAGTGTTTTAAATATTAATGATTAAGCATTACAGAAGGCTGTCAGAGCCTCTTCGTACAGGAAAATGTAGGAATAACACACTGATCATTTGGACCAGTATCTTAAATGTTATATTTAACATATCCCATTTAACATATCCCATTTTCTTTATTATATAGGCTGGAAAGAAAAGAAAATTATTTCCAATTCTCTTCTACACCCTTTACATGCAACCTTTAAACAATTCCTTCAGGAGAAACAGGGTAAGGAAGATGAGAGATAAGTGTGTGCTGTATTTGAAAGGTTGAGAAAAAAGCCTAATACTGAATACAGCATAATTTCTACTTTCAACTGCCAACCGAGGCAAAATCTGGCATCAAAAGATACAATGTGGTAGCTCTCAAGGTGAGGAAACTGGAGGAGAAAAGTCTTGTGAGAGACGACTGAGTGAGAAGCAGGTGAGCGCTGCCATGATTTGGTTTTGAGACTGATTCAGTCTTTTTGGCTAAATTTTAGACAGTCAGAATGTCTTGTCTAGACAAGATGGCTTTTATCCAATTCAAAAAGTCAAAGATGAATAATAAGAATTTACCTGAGATTTCAAAGATACAATGGTGTCTTCAAGTTCCTGTCTCAAAGTTGCTGGCATCAGGCCTTTGAGTGTGGCTTCATATTCTTGTCGTATATGGGTCATCTGTAACAGCACAAAAATACATTTATATATAGATGGCTACTCTTGGAAGCTGCAGAGTAACGTTTTTGCTTCTTTTGCCCAAATTGGGGTACAAATAAACACAGAATTTTTCTGGTATCAAGGGAAAGGGAAGGAGGGAGAAGAAAGATCAGCAAAAACCTGTAAAGAACAAATGAGGTTAAAAAGAAGAAGGGAAAAAGAAAACGTTAAGAATAAATCTATGGAGAGGAGGAAGAAATAATGAAAAAGAAACAGTGAGGCATTTGCTGGGACATGGGCAGAAGCAGCAATAATCATTCCTAAATCTGTCTCAGTAGAGCATTTATACAGATGTATTCTTTGCAGTTGATAGTCAGAAGTTTTCTTTTTGTCTTTGGTGGGATCTGAACCAGGTCAGTAGAGTGATATTTGCCCCTTACTCTCTCAGACAAGGTGAATTATTGTTTCCCAAGATCCGTTTACAACATTTCTCAACTTGCAGGTGTTTTTAAGGACTTTTTTAGTCATCATGCAACTATTCTTCATTGCATTTTGTGTCTTTCCCAGCTTCAATGAGGCTACAGGACTTTCAGTAACTAGGTTTGAGCATCTCAGACACGTTACAAGATCGGATGTTCAGACCAAACCGATTACATCTAAAGAAGGACTTTAGCCCATAACTGTATTCAACAGATGTTAAGTAAACAGTACAGTTACAAAGCAGGGCTATATGAGGACAGATTAGCTGGAAGGACTGTGCTTTGTATCTCTCCAGTGTGGTTGTATTTGCTGAACCTTGACCCTGGAAAAGCTTTATTACTAGGTTGATCAGTGACTCCCATCTGTACTTCACTTCCAATAGGATTAACCTCTTAAATTAAATGAGTACTTAGGTGTTTTTCTGGACTAGCAGCTGAACATGTAAATAAAGGATAAAAGATTCAATATCAGATTAACTTATAAACTATCTTTAAACTTTCAAACCGGATCTATTTTTCCAACGGTTTACACACCGACGCCGTTTTGTGCTAATTTTGTTTTAGTTACCAAATTGCTTAAATCTACCATTGCAACCACAAATCAAAACCTCAGCCCTACAGCTGAAGAAGCCACGAGTTGAGCTTCCAGCCCCCGGCTCGCAAGGAGCGCACGCGCTGAGACACGTGAGAACCACACAGTGAGTTCAGTGTGAGACGTGCCAAGTACCAACTCGCTGTAAAAAGCAGGTTGTGCCAAAATCTGCATTATGCATAACACAATTATCAATACAAAAGGAATAAAACAATCTGATGAAACTTTAGGAAAGTTCTATGAGTCATTCCGACACGCAGCACCAATCTCCACATCTCTATGCAAATAGGCAATTAGAGGCTTTCCTGGTGAACTGCAAGTGAGTGCTGCCACCATGTAAATCTATAGAAAAAAATAGATGGTGAGACAGGAAACCTTGTTTGAACTCTGCCTGTATAGAAGCTACTGATCAGAATTTATGGTTTTGAAAGTTACTCCAATAAATTTACACTACTATTTCTATAAAGACTTAAAAGTTATGCACAGGTGCTTTGCCAGGATAAATATTTTCTGAGCCAACAGCTCATTTGGGTGGGGACCTTGATAGAGCAGAAACGTGTATTTCAGTTAATTCAACACATTACATTTGTTCTTGGTGAGAAGGGAGCAGAAACAGGCAGCTAGAAGAGCAAAATACTTCTATTTCCTACGTTTTGAATAATAAAGGTGTATTTCATGAGCAAGAGGATCTGGATGATCACTTTGGCAACATGTTGGAGTGACCCAACCAGCATAGAAACTCCACCTCTCTCGCACTCAAGTGATGTGGATGGCAGGAGCTGAGCCTGGACTCTGATATAATTCCCTATACCATGATCTATCCATGCCTACAGAGCATCTAGGACTGACACCAGCTTCCTCAGGTGCCAGGTACACAGCAAGAGCCCCTTACCCCAGTTTTTCCTAGAGGAAAGTCAAACAAGTTTCATTCTAAGTACATGCAGCATAAATTTTAATACAGGTCTCTGATTGAAATAATAAGGTTCTAATTGCGCAACAGTCTTCTTTCAACCAGGTCACTGGTTTTAATAGTTGAATCTGCAAGTGGCCTCTAAATACGTGCTACCATGACCACGTTTGCTATTAGCTCTGCACAGCAGCAAGGGGACTGTTCCTGTTTGATAAAGGTGTTGGAAAAGTCAGGAAGAAATACATACTGTGCTTTAAAGTATGGATGTATGTTACTGGGTTGGCTGAAAATGGAGGAAGAGAATGAGAAACAAGCCCTGGTAGCTGAAGTGTTGCTTGGGGCTGATTTCTTCCTCTGTTTCACAGAGAAGACATGCACTTTGGGATACAAGTGCAATTGTTTGTTTGCTAAGACAAACCATGTTACTTTCCTCTGTGCCCACTAATCATTGCATGACAATAAGACGAAAATAAGATCCCAGCTGTTTCCTGTCCCATTATGATAAACTGATGTTTTTGGCTGAAGTTACTATCAAGGTTTATTGACCCAAGAGATTAAAATAGTGAATGACAAAAGCCTAAATCACTTCTTGTAACTGAAAAATAACATATAGGGGGCTAATGGGTACTAATTTGAATGAGGGAAGGCTTTTAGTTTTTAACGCTTATTTTTGACCAATGAAACCTGTGTCTGCAGGGATTTCTTTCTTTTTTTGGTGCCTTAAAGGCTTTTTTGTTCTTTTATAGCCTCGAGCTGCCTCCCTAGGATCCGCAAATAGTGCGTCTCCTCTTGCACTCTTGAGAGATGCTGAAAATTGCCATTCTTCAGCCCTCAGGAGGGCTTTAGCCTGCTGGATGGGGATGGCTCTATTTCATTTACTGTTGTGTTCGTTTTGCTTCAGTCCTGAGAAAACTTCTTTTTTTCATTTGAAAATTCATTTTGGTGAGTTGATTTAATCCATGAACCCCCAGGAAGGTTTTTTATAGCTTTTAATATTAAGCTGCCACGCTGGTCTTTGTTTATTCAGGTTGGTGGCTAACATATGAGGTTTAAAGTTTTACCATCAATCATCTCTGGTGTCAGTCGAAACAACTGAAAGCTGTGGCTGCCGCACATAGCTCATGTGTGCTTGTCACATGATGAATTAGAGAAAACAAGAGATAAATATTCACGTAATTATACAAAGAGATGCAGAAAGGGAAGTTACAGTTCCACAGGCTACAATGAGAACTTGTCATAGTTGAGCACTGACCATTCTCAAAAGGGAGAAAAGTTGGTTTTGGTGCCCAGAAGAGAAATATTCAAACCTGAACTTCCCAAACCAAGCAGTCAGGCCTGGCCCGATGCTTCTCAGTAGTGTAAGAGGAGTTTCTTCACTACTTCATGGAGTTTTCAGGTGGCACAATTAAGTTTTGCAGCTCTCAATTCTAAAAGCTTCAGAGGGATGTTGGTTCGAAGAAGAGGGGAGCACAGAACTGATGGAACCCATTGGCATCTAGCTGCACTGCAGTCACTCTCCTTCCTTTTTGAAAGAAACAACTCAAGCACATTGAGAAGAAATACAGTATCTTCAAGATGACCAGATGCATTTTAATCCAAGTGCTGAGAACAGCCTGCAAGGCAGAGGATACTCTGCTTCAATTCTGAGCTTTGCTGTACAGTTACGACCACACTGCATCTTATTCAGGTTCCCAATAGCCAGCTCTCCCCTTACTTCGGAGAGGTCTGTGATGCTGAGTTTATCATCCAGAGCACACTGGCCCTGGTACAAGATCCCCTTCTCGTTAAAAACTAAACAAATGCAATCTTCTCCAGATCTCCCAACTCTAAATTACTTTATTTGAACCAAAGGAAAATGAAAAAGTAACTCTGAAGTATACACTGCCAAAGCAAATGAAGGGACCAGAGAGGAGTTGTTCGAGTTCCTTTAGAAAATATAAATCTCATCTTGAAGGGAATGAAGTTAACATTTTGTTTATGCCAGATAAGAATCAAAAGGCAGTTCATTAACTAAGGTGTTGTGGGTTTTTCAGTGTCTTAATTTCTGCCTGTTTATGATATATATGAAGGATAATAATTCCAGGTGTGCCAGGAAATATGAGGATAGTGACCAAAAGGCATAATTAGGATCATTTAATTATTATCAAATTTTCTCCATGTTTCAGGGGGAGTGAGATAAGTAATATCCTGACTCTCTCACATCCTTTCCTGCACAACTTAAACAATGGTGTTATAAAGCTGTTTAAAAGAGATATCTCTTTAAAAAGGTTATGCATCTGTTCCACAATACACATCTCTGAAAGCAGACGTGAAAGATCCGCTGTAATAAATCTGAAGACAGGTTAAGGTACCAAAAAGGTAAAAATAACTCCTCCAGCCTTAGGCAAATCATTTAATCTCAGACTAAAGTCTCATCCTTCTAAATGAGGATAATAACAATAACAATGCATAGGTCAACTTCATTCAGGTGGTGCGCTTGCTGAAGCAATCTTCTGAGAGCACTTTGGGAAGGGCAAGTGAAGGACAAACTACTGCAGTGCCATCCCAATTAAAAAAACCCCAGTCAACAAAACCCCAAAACCCAAACAACAACCCAAAGAATGTCAGTGATTAATCATAGAATCATAGAATAGTTAGGGTTGGAAAGGACCTTAAGATCATCTAGTTCCAACCCCTCCTTTGCTTCTCAGCACTCCTAAACTCCAAGTGAGCACAGCTTTACTCCCACAAAACTGCTCCAAGTCTCTATGGGCCCCTTCCTTCATCAGCCCAGGGGACACTGGTCACTGGCTATAACCAAGGAACCAAATCCACTGAAATCTGAATTTCCTCAGCTCTCTCAGGTTTCTGTTGTTAATTAGAGCTTGAAATCCTCTGAAACAATTTTTCCTACTGAAGAATCAACTGATGTATCCATTTTCTCAATGAAGAACACTTGTCTTTTCACAATGTAATCAAATAGGAATATCCACTGCTTTTCGCTCCACATCCTCTCTTATTTCAGGCAGTGGGAACTTCTATTCTGACTGTGCAATGTACG